AGAAAGATTCATTCAGTATCATGAACTTAATTCAACTCATGGGAAAACATTGGAAGTTGCAACAAGCTCTTCTTCTACACCATCAATATGATATAATGTGTTGAGACTGGTGAATGAATTCAGGTCCTTCATTTATTCCTCTTCTTTGGAAACAACTATCGAGATTTCCCATAAAAAGAGAGTTTCAAGAGATTCTACATAAAATCGTGCCAACCCCAATTGAGCAACTTCCTCAAGGTTCTGATGAAGTGGTCTCCACTGCCACTAATCTATTTATGAGAGTCGAGCCTTGAGGAAGAAACACCTTACAGAAATAACGAGATCGAGACTGCTAACACTGCTAAATTTGAATCGTTGAGTTTAAACAAATCTAAGTTTGAGAAGATCAAAATTGAATAATCCAACATTGTCACCCTGCTAAATGAAGAACAACAAAAGTGTGCAGATCTCAAACAGAAAGTTCTCAATCTCCAGAAACAAATCGAACTCTCTAAAGCAAAAATTCTCGAGCTATCCACATCAAAATCCTCCTTCAAGACAGAATCCTTGAGTTTGCTTTCCACTTCCAAAGATCTTGTTGTAGGTTTAAAAGAAAATATGATTCCATAAGTAGATCTAAAAACCAGAGACCTTGGTTATCCAATGCATGGGAAGTTGTACTTGCAAAATTTGAAAAACTTTGATTGTAGCATGGCTTTTTAAATTATATTGACCACATTGGTTCATACACAATATATTTATTATGTTCAATTTAATCGATAGTTACTTTTATATGTGATAAGTCTTGAATGATTTTAAATATTTGCCATTGATTGAAAACTTTGTTTGTCCATCATAACAACTAGTTATAACATAAACATTATAAGACTTACAACTTTGAAAGGACCTTCCTAATTTGGCACCATTTTCTATAATGCTTAGACTTTCAATCCATAGACAAAATTACTTTTCAAACTAAGTCCCTTTCTTTAAAACTTTTACACTTAACTCGCTTACTATAAGATCTTGCAACTTGTTCTTTTTTATGTAATATTCGCTCTAAAGCATTAATTCTCTCTTCATCCAATTCGATTAATTCATCATACATTTTGCTCCAATTATCTTAGTTAGATAACTCATTTTATCTTTGAATTCTAACAAACTCTATGTTAATTTCGACTAGCGAAACGACATCATGCTCAAAAACTAACTTATATGGAATAGTTTTTATAAAGTCCTATAAGCTTACAATATCTGAGATAATATTTTATGTCAATTCCTTGGTTTATTCTCAATGTGCTTTTTAATTAAATTAATTAAAACTTTATTAATGGTCTCAATTTGTCCATTAGCTTGAGCAAAATAAGGAGTTGACGCTAATGGCTTAATATTTCTTGATTTCGCATAACTAGAAATTTTTTTACCCGTAAATATTGACCCTTGGTCTATCAAAATCGCCTCTAGAATCCTAAATCGATATATTATATACTCCTTTATAAAATCAATTATGTCTTTTTGTTTGACATCCTTTAAAGGATTTTCTTCCGCCCATTTAGTAAAATAATCAACTGCCACAATCATAAACTTATGACCTTTCAATGAATGAGGATATATTCGTCCAATTAAATCTATTGTCCATCCTTTTAAAGGTCAAGGTTTAACTAGTGGATGTAATTCAGAAGCTGGTATACTTTGTATTGGTCCAAATTTCTAACATTCCTCATAGGAGTTAGCATATTCAATACAATCTTTCAAAATCGAAGGCCAATAATAACCTCTTCAATACAATATCCACTTTATTTTTTCACCTATGATGTGTGCTCCACGTATGCCACTATGAACTTCAGCCATAACTATATAAGAGTCATCTTTAGTATTCCATCCAATCCTCTTTTATACAATTCATTATTCAAAATGATAACTTTTTGCTCGATACATGGTTTTCGTATCAATTATTTTACTGAGATTCTTAAAATACACAAGTATTGGAAGTCTCCAATCATCAACATTTGATGAATTTATTTGTAATAGTTCAATTTGTTGGGCTAACTTTTCTTTAATCTGAATTAATTCTTCAAATCTTTTATTTGATACCCTATACCTCAAAGTTATTTAAGCTAAATCATTCGCTTCTTGATTAAATTCTCGAGCCACATGTTTGAATCGAATATCCTTACATTTAATTATCAACTTAAACACCTTATTTAAATATTTAATCAAATTTGAGTTCAAACATTTGTATTCCCGATTTACTTGTTTAATAATTAAATTAATTAAAACTTTATTAATGGTTTCGACTTGCCATTAGCTTGAGCAAAATAAGGAGTTGACGCTAATGGTTTAATATTTCTTAATTTCGCATAATTAGAAATTTTCCTACCTGTAAATATTGTCCCTCGACTTATCAAAATCAACTCTAGAATCTCAAATCAATATACTATATACTCCTTTATAAAATTAATTACATCTTTTTGTTGGATATCCTTTAAAGGAATTGTTTCCACCTATTTAGTAAAATAATCAACCGCTAACTCATATCTTTTTTACTAACATAATCAATTAATTCATCAAAATAATCCATTAAAATCTCTTGATTTTTACTCACATCTCTCACTCCGTCTTATTCTTTTAATTAAAAATATTTAAAATGTGATAAAATGGATATTTTATTATTTTTAGAAAATAAAAATATTTAAAATAACCAAAAATACTATAATTTAAAAAAAAATTAATATTACGTGATAAAATTTGAGATATTATAAATATTATTTTTATTTTATAATTATTAAGAGAAAAATACAATAATTTTTTAATAATTTTTTTAAAATTACTTAACTTGATTAACCATTATAACTCAACCTAATTATAAATATATTAAATTTTAATAAAAAATAAATTTAACTCAATATTTTTAATTAGATAAATAATTAATTTATTATGATAAAATAATTTTAAATTAATTATTTATTGTCATTATAAATTAAAAAATGTACTGTTATTATAATTTTAAATTATTAATTAATATTTTATAATTTCAATGTTGATTTGAAAAAAATACTTTAATATATTTTTATTAAATTTTAATATAATATTTTTAATTAAAAGATGGGAGAGAAAAAATAAAAATAAAAAAATTATGAGAAAGAAGAAAGAAACTGCACATAAATATTAAATAAATCTAATTAAGTGAATAAATAGAGTACTTCAATTTATTTTTTTTACAATATACACTAAAAGAAATAATGAAACAAAATATTAATATATTAAATTAAACTTTTTAAAATTTAATATAGGAAATTTTTATACAAAATATAATGAAACATGAGATAAAAACATTTTCTTGTAATCATAACATAATTTAATAATAAATAAGTTGTGATTTATAACTTTTTTATGTTTTTTTTATCGGTTTATTGCTTCTCAATTTTACAAAATATATATTATTACATATGCATTTAAATATTATATATATATATATATATATATATATATATTAACATAATTATATATTTTATAATTTCTCTTATATATTCCCAATTACATAAACATAATATTTTATTCATAGATATATTTGTATTCATATAAAAAATTTATATATAAAAATAATAAAAACCATATTTATAATTGTTGGATTTTTAAAAGAATATGTATTTATCATAAAAGAAACAAGTAAACGACACAAAGTGAAAATGAAATGAATTGTTTAAATTAATACTTTTAAAACTCGTCGTTAAGTCGATCAAAACATAAATTTTAGATTTAAAAGTTAAATTAGAATTTAATTGGCATCTAATTAAATTTAATAAAATAATATTCTTATTATATAATAAATTTATTAATAATAATAAAAATTATAAAGATAAATTATATTAAATTGTATAAAATGAATAATATATTAAAATAAAAAATATAATATAATATAATTTCTATAAAAATTATATTTAAAATAATTTATTTATTTTTTTTATCAAAATGATTTCACTCAAAAACTCAATTGATTTTCTTTATTTTATTAAATTTATATCATTTTAATTTTAATTTAATTAAAATTTAATTATTTAAAAAAATAAACATCAATGCTATTTTGAAAACATAGTTTAAATTAAAAGAAACCAGAACCATTCAATGTTTTCATCTCCACCTCATTCTTTGTCAATCTTTTAAAACGTGTTTGGAAAACTCACCGGTCTGGTTTAACTAGTACAATTAAAAACTGGCATGGAACAATTTATTGTTTTCAAAATAATGGATTTCAATTAAATTATTATATATAGCGGGAAAATTCATACAAAATCAATACAATTGATAAAATCAGTTAGATTTTTTGGTTGAATTAATTTTATTAAAGAAATTATAAATAGCTTTTATAAAATATATAATATTTTTTATATTTTTTCTTTATCTTACTCAAATAATTATTTTATTATATTTTATTTTATTTTATTTTTATTGTTATCAGTATTTTATTTTCTACTACTAAACCTTTGATTTCTTAGGATTTTAAAAATTGTTTAAAACCCAGCTTTAAATTCTTGCGGCCACTCTCCCGCATTGAAACAGTAATTCAATGTGCAAACAAAAAAAAATTATTTTTTTAATGCACAAATATAAATTAGCACTAAAAATTTCGCTTTTGCAAAACTCATATATCAGTGTAGACTACATAGGATAAACGATCATTTTCACCAATATTTCTAAAAAAAAATTAAGAGTGAAACTAAAATCTGGTTAATAAAATTAATTTATATAAGATTAAAAAATATAGAAAAATTATATAAAAAATATTTTACAAATTAGTTTATACACAACATAGAATTTATTTTATTTTTACATATAAAATATTTTGGGGAATTCCATCAAACAAATTTTGAATGGACAAGAAAAAAGTGGTAGTGGATGAGTTTCATGACATCTCAAATCCACTCATTTTTTTTTATCTTTATTTTTGGTGAGAAGGAAGGGCATGGCATGGAAGTGAAGTGAAGTGATAACGAGGCAAATTCTGAGAGCTCTGATCAAAGATGAGGTCCTCCTTCAGCCTCCATGTTCCCAAAGCTCTGCCTCCTCTTCCCACTACACCACATGGGACTACTTCTCTCTTCTTTGCTTCCAAGCACAAAAAATCATACCACAAAAACAGTCATTGCCAATCACTGCGTGTATTTTGCTTTTTCTTCTGCCAACTCATTCTCTCCTTAACCTAATTTCATTCAATAAGTTGACTAAATTCAACTCATCAATCCAATTGCAGGTAACATGCAGCACCCATAAACCAGAAAATGATGTCAGTCTAAAGTATACCAATTTGGCACTGCATATAGGAGCACTCTTGGCCTTGGTGAGATTCTTGTACATAGAAATTCAGTTTTTGTTACTCTTCCAGGAAACAAAGGTCAATAAATGCATAGATTTCATTGGAAATTACTATAAGAGTGTGGTGGTAGCATTAATGTATCACTTTTCTAAAGGATTTCTGGTAAGGATTCTAAGGGTTTACTTGGAAAAAAACAATCGAGGTTTTTTTTTTATTATTATTATTTTGACGAAATTATCCATGAACTCTTTTTAAAAAACAAAGATTGAAATTAGGTTTTTCATGAGTTAAAACTTTTTCATATAATTTTTTATTGTATTTTTAATTTATACATTTTTATCTTATAAAGAAATAATTTTATTTTCTTTTTCTTGCAGAACAACTTACGAAAAAAAATCACACAACACATACCTTAATTAATTAATAAGTTGGAAACTTTTTAAGTTGAATTTGCATTGAAAATTACAATAGAATGTATTGTTACTTACTAATTCCAATTAAAAGCTTTTCATTTTATTCTTTAACCAGCATCCACGGTTAATTATATCCGTATTTTTTACTTAATCTTTTATTTTAGTAATATATATATATACATATATATGTACGTGTGTTTGTTTCTTGTGATGTAAGAATGAAAATATAAAATAGAAAATATCATAAATCATTATCAGCATAGTTATTATGTTTTTATGTAAAAAATTTAAAATTTCATGTGAAAAGGAAGTTATGAGTGTCTTTAATATGTGGCAATTTGAACAGGCTGAGCAGCCAGTATTAGCAGTGACTGGAGAGAATAACCGGCAAGAACTATCCTTGGTTTTGACACAATGGGGGATTGTTTTGTTTGTTTATTTCCTTGTCGTGCCAGTAAGTTCTTTTCTTTCATTAGTTTGACCTGATATATTTGACAAGAGTGTCCAAAACTGAGTTTTAATGTGAGTGAGCATAATTGCGTGAACTGCAGCCAATAATCATGTTCTGGCTTTGGAAAAGATGGTACAGAAGAGGGTTGCTGGAGATGTATTTCCAATTCATGTTTGTCTTCATTTTCTTTCCAGGGTGAGGAGCTCTACCTCTAAAAGCAAAATATATATCACTGATACTAGCACTACTATTGCCTAACTTTGTCAAGAGACTTACACTCGTATTCACATCATGTTATATATCATATTGGGATGAACTAACGACTATAATTGTGCGCAATGATGATATATATTTTGTTGGTTGCATTTCTCTTTTGAAATTAATTGTTCTAACAATGTGCGCCATGTTTCTAAAAGCATCATTTTTAAATCATGTTTAAAATCTTGCAGGGTTATTCTTTGGGCACCATTTTTAAACTTCAGGAAATTCCCACGGGACCCTTCCATGCAGTACCCTTGGTCTGTACCCGAAGATCCTTCAAAAATTAAAAGTTCATACTTTAAGTACCCATATGCCGAACCTGAAGATTATGATAATCTATAAAATCTAGATCAGAAAAAGCAGATGTACTCTCAATTCCCAAAACTATCTTGTTCTGAATGTATAGTTATACCTATTTTTGTGCTTTTGATTACAAAATGGATATGAATGGGATTCGGTAGCAAATTATAAAATGTAGGATAATCATTGTAAGATTGACAACCTTGATGCAATGTTAAGCGATTCAAATTAATGTGCGAGATGCCGAGGTGAAAATAAATGAACATTAATGTAATCCGTTTGACACAATTTTGCAGAATCGGGGCATTTCATTTAATTGACAAGTAGTTATGATATCGACCATGAATGCAAATTTCATAAAATTTGATCAATATGTGTGGTTTAACGATTACTCTCAGATAAAAAAAGACAGTGCTTATCAACTGTTAATCATTTCCTACTTTATATATAGACCATTTTCGATAAGAGCTCATTAATTTTGTTCAATTTAAGCGAAAAATGCATCGCTAGGGAAACCAACTGACAAAGGACAAAATGGTCAACACATGATAACAGAGCAAAAGGTAGAAATTTCTTCTAAATGTACCACCAAAATTCTTCTGATTCAACTAAATTAAATTCAGGATACAGCTGTAGTTACCTCATTGGCATTTTGCCAGCATAGTTAACATAAAGGCATAAGATAACTAAAACTAAGAGTCAAAAGAAACAAGAACAAATAAATTATAAAATAGTCTAACTAAAGTAAACCTCAAACCATTGTTGACCTCAACTATTCTGTTTCATCCGAACAGGATTAGAACTAAGTGTACAATCTCCGCATTAAGCACTTTATTATGGGGCTATTGGTTTACTGTGCCCATTGTGAATAAGTTGGGCTGAAAAGAAAATTGCTGTTCGAAGCAACCAACTGCTAGTAATGCGGAATATTCTCAAGTCGTCAGTACTGAATGTTGAAAACTTCGTTGATCTTCTTAAAATCCAAAGATTCCATACCGGGGGACAACAAAATGGCAGCACCCACAGCCAAACCAAGAGCTGTAAAGGTTAAACAAGAAGTGCATCCATGGCTTCGCGAAGCTTTTCCTAAGATTATCTTGCAATATTTATCGGCATCCTTGAAGTGAGCATGACGAGCAGCATCAGTCTCGGTAGCCAATACTTTCTCATTCTGCGGCCAAAAATTGTTACATTATTACATAGCATGTTCAAACATTCTGCCACTTCAATACAATAAAAACACAATTCAACCAGCTCATGACACTGTTGGAAAGCAATCCCAGATACAATAAACAGAAAATATAGATCTTTTGACTTAGAAACTACCTTTTGCTTAAAATTCTTTAAGGTATCCCTCAGTGGCTCATGAGGTGACAATTTTGTAGATTGCTCCTTCCAATCATCAGAAAGCTTCTTCAGAGCTGAAACACTTGATTCAATGTTGTCCTGATAGACTTTTTCCTGTCCACATACAACAAGGAATAAGATCAAAGTAAATCTAGTTTATGGTTGTGTTCGATAAGCCCCATGGCCTGGTTTCTGTTACTTGAGGGAGTTATTGGTTAGTGATTGTTAGCAAAACATTTATCAGAGTTTGGCTTGGCAGCAGTGATGAGATTGGCAGAGATGATTAGGTGTATTGGGTTTAGTTAGAGATTAACACTTTCAGTCTTTCTCTAATATGAGAACCATTATCAAGTTTGCCATATATATTATAAAAACAATGCAAAGAATTGTTTCTTATAATAAGTTCTCTTGTTCTATCCAAAATAAAAATCAATAGCTTGCATAATCTACACAAAAATACTCACCCATTGCTTGTAGCATTCGGTGTTTTGACTCAAACACCAAATTAAAATACCAGCTGCTTCTTTTGATAATTCGGGATTGTCTGAAAAATACAGCATATTTTTAGAATACACAACATTTATTTCATTAAATATGAGAAAGAGACACAAATAAAATAATAAAATCAGGTTTGCGTACTTTCTCCAGCTGCTTTGATAGCAAAATTGAATATCTGCAGCGAAACTTGTTTCATTGCTTTACTTCCAGAAGAACCTCCAAGAGCCACCTCTTTCAGAATGGCATATATGGCCTCAAATCTTTCAGTAGCCTATATAAATGCAGCATACTTACATATATTTTGAAGATTTTGAGCTATGATACAATTATATACAAACAAATAAATCCTGCTGAACATATCTACCTTTACTCTAGTTGAAGATGGAGGGAAAGTCACCCGGAGCAAAATTTCAAATGCAGGAGGAGGAATTAATCGTTCCCCTTTTCTCACAGCACTATTTACTAGAACAGGCCGGGCTTTTGGGGTAGACAAAATTCTGCCACCATATCACAGACAGCACAATGGTGATGATAATAGCAAAGATGAGATGGAGATATAAAAAAATAAGGTATTTATGCTTTCATACTTTTCCATCAGCTGCAATACCAAATCCCTGGATTGGGGGTTACCACTTTTGCCAATCACTATGGGTAGGAGATTTCGTGACCAAGCATACAAACCTACTGAGAGATCTCCTACAGAGGCCTAGAAAGAAATATTAAGCATTAACAAAATGAAGGGAAAATGAAATGATAAGGTTCTCCCTTAAAACTCAAACAACTCAGCTTTTAGGGGATTTCTTAGAAGATCTCATGTTATTTTTGGCATCTATCCCTCACCTGAGATATCATCCATACAATCACTGGAAGCTTATCTTGCCCTTGATACTTTGTATTCTCCCTCAATGTAGGCAACACGGTAATAAGAGCATCAGGCTTCCGGCGCAATACCATTGCTAAAACAACAAACATGGCAACCTGCAAGTCATGTGAACTTAATGTCAGTTTACAGCTGAAAACAAGAGAAAAAAAGAATAGCATGTATGTCTTTGGAAACTTAAAAATAATCATGTAAAGGTTGAATGTGATTTAGGAACTGAAGTCACAAAAACATTCATCAAAACAAATTTTACAATAAAAACTTCACCAAACCAAGACAACAACATTAGAAGATACACAACCTACAATGAATGTATAAGTCAAACACAACCTAATAAAGTTTCAAATGGAAGCAATTGTTTCATTTAATTTCTAGAGATAAAAAAAATTATTGAATGATGAAGCAAAACAAACTGACTCATTTTGCTATCACAGAACATAAAAAAAAGGCAATGTAAGAAGACAGATATTTGACCACCTATGCCACTAAATGCCCCACTCCCCAAATTGAAAAAATAAAAATTAAAAAATTAAAAAAAAATTGTATACTCTGAAGTTTGTCAGCCATATATTTAAGGCACATGTCAATCGACTGCTTGTCTCATGGCTACCTATTTGTGTAATGTGTTGACATATTCATTCACATTGAGTGTACAAGTGGAAGAAGATCAAAGAAATTTGAAACATAAATAAAACTACCTAAATAAAATTTAGCAACATCGTGCCTCCTCCCGTGTTCTTAATATTTTATGCCAATCCCGTCATTTAAACATTTAAAAGCAGAGATTATCATATCAAAACTAACATGTATTAAATAAATATATTCATATTGAAATTGCAATAGGCATATGTCATAGAATTTCAAAGTCATGCACTAAACAAACATCCCTATTGCATTTGGTTTAAAGAGAAAATCTGGAATTATAAAGGATTGTGACTTTGCTAATTAATTATGCTTTTGGACAAGATTGTTGATTGACCCTCTTAGCTGTTCAGCATATGGGTTCTGCCAGAGAGTCCCCTTGATAGAGTTGCAGAGTTAATAGCCAGCAATTCTGTATTGAAATTTCTCTTTTAGCTGAGTTTTTGTTTCAATTTGGTTTCCTATTAGTTCTTAAGAGAGTCTGATTTTCCTACTTTTGTTATTCATTCTTATCTCCTAACACAGGTGACTTCTGTTATGGAAAATTCAAAAGGAGAATAAAAAACAATAGTTCTAGACTGAGAAAAGCATTAAGTACCTGAGATTTTGAAGCAACTTGCTGCACAGCCTTTTTGGAACCCTTGGCCACAGTCTGCTGGCTACTCAAGTCAGCAAGAATGCTATCCAAAGACCAAAGCAGAAAGGAACTAAGTGCCTCAGGGGATCGTTGGTTAATCCAGTCAATTGATGTTTTATATACAGCATCAGATATGTGAGAAAGTGGCATCTGGAAAAAAGGAGAATCACCAATAAACTTCCCAGGAAAAGACCAGAAAATAAAACCAAGATTCTGATAAACACTAAAAGATAGAATATGAATGCTCCAAAATGACTGAATATAAAAAATTTCTCAAACATCAATATACCATGAAAGGACGAGAACAAGACCCAGTACTATGATTTTGTAACTGATGAATGAATGCTTTCTACTATTATGATTCTCAAGGTCTCACCAAAAAAAAGACAGTACTATTTATCATGACAGAAAAAGCCAACAGATTTGGCAAAATTCTTCCTTAGCAAAATTACCAATATTAAAATAGTAACTACAATAAACGGTACAATATAAAACAATATTACAACAGATTTAGTGTCTTAGGTTTACGGTTGAAAGTGGGCAAACGTCCATTGAATGCGAATGATATATGAAATGTTTGGTTCCTAGTTTAGTGCTTTGGAAAAAGTGAATTCCCGTTTGCATTGATCTATATGGGTTTTGAAACTCACCCTTAGCAGGAGAGCTCGATTAAACTTCACTACACCAAAGACACACCTACCATGTTTGCTTTGCATAATATCAATACCACCTAGGTACTTAACACAGACTAGAATAATTTAACGCAAATAAGAAATCGATTTGCTGCTGTGATCGACTTGCTGCCGTGAATTTTTGAACAATATCTTCTATAAGCTATTAATTAGAGAATGATGCGACTGAACTTCACAAAGATCAACAATTCATGTTAAGAGATAACATGATATAGCATGACAAACATGGTCATAAGTCAAAACAAATAGTCACAATTAACAACAGCAAAGAAAAGAAAGTAATATAACTAAAATGTGCACGAGTAACGTTGCACTCTAAACTACAAAGCATTCATATACCTTGAAAAGTCATACAACCGTTCATCCCACAAAACCAATAGAGTCATCTTTTTTTTGGAGGAATAATCAGGGCTTTTGTCATTGAAAATTGTAGATAGAAACACATACAAAAAAAATCTTTTATAGCATGACCAAGAAATTAAAATTCTCCAGACGTATTACTTTAAAACAGGCTGACTCCAGTTTATTTCACCATTTTACTCTGAAAATTTTACTACGTTGAAAAGAAAGCAACGTCCCGTTAACATTAGATGTAATTGCTTCAGTCGTTTCTAGTTCAGCAGTATAGTTCTGCGCCGACCAATAAATTTCAATTTTTTTTCTATTGGAGAGATCCTTATAACCTGAGAGGAACAAAATGAAATTCTTTATCTATTATTTCCATTGATGAAAATAATAAGAAAACAAGGAACTGAGGACTCACATCAGTGACCTTAGCCACAGTTGACTCCTTAAACAATTTCACCCAGGGAAACTGAGATGCGGTCACGGCAGAAAAAGCACGTCCAAAATAATCAGCGAACCGCATCATCAATATGTCCTGTTGTTTCTCGAACGATGCCTAATGTGGAAACAAACAAGCGAACAAACAGATAAAAATTCAAATCAATCCAAACGAATAGAAACGCATCGTCTTCCTGATCCAACAGATCAAACCAAAACACAAAACCTAAACATGCGCGATTCAATTGACAATGCCCTACCGATATATCAACGAGGAAAGCGCCCAGATCAGCGGCGTCGATCTTTGCCGCCGCCTCTGCCAACGTCACCTTAGGCTTCTTCGGCTTCTTCTGCTTTACCTTCTTCTCTTCCACCTTCCCATTCTCAGCTGAATGCTCCACATTCTCCTCCTCCTCGTCATCGTCGTTGCGAGGCCGCTGCTTCGATCTGACCGGCCCGTCATCATCATCGTATGCGGCATCGGCCGCCTTCCGCGCCTCCAGAATTTTCCGGCGGCGGTCCTCCGATTGCAGCTCCAGCGACCGGAAAACGCCATCGGAGCTGGACAAGGTTCCGTTTGGAACGAGTTTGTTGGAATTGGCTCGAGTATCGGATCCATTGGCGCTATTGTTGGTCTTCTTCCTCTGTTTCTTAGCGTAGGTCACCTTTTGCCAGCCGTGGTCGGCCCCGTGAGAGACACCGTTGGATTCGGTATGCGCGGATTCCAAGGCTGCTGCGTGCTTTTCCTCCATTCTCGTGGTTGGGAACCGTGATTTTCTGTGTGTCTATAGGTGGGAAAATGAGAAGGGAAAACAAGAGGATGTGAAAGGGGAAATAAGAGAAAGTGATGGAAAGGAAGAGAAAGTGAAAAGAAAATGGTGGAAGGAGAAGAAGGAGAATTCCAAAAGACAATTTTTAATTTTTCAAACTGTTGACTCCCGATAATTGACCTCACTCTCTCCCTTGAATAACGGAAGTGCCATGGGGTAGTTGTGTTGAAAGGAGCACGTGTTTCGTCAAATAGGCTCTTAACACGTGTAGAACCCATTTTTCATTCGTACACACCTTATTTCATTAAAAAGAAATCATAAAATAATGTTTGTTCTATTTCTCTCTGGAAAAATATTTATAAACTCTAAATTTCTGATGTTTTTTAATTGTTAATTTTTTATAATTATAAAATAATTATAACTTGTTTAATATTAAAAATAAAAAATATATAATTAAAGTAATAAATATTTCATATTAAAATAATTATATTTTTTAAACATTGTAGTTACTTCATCCTAACTATTTCGATGAGAGATAAGAAATGGGGATAATTTATTCAATACTTAACCACGAACCAATTTTATGCATTTGTTTAGTCGGAATAATGGAATGAAAAGGAAGGGAATAAAAAAGAGACAGTAAAAGTGAAATTATTTTGATTGAGGAAAAAAGAAAAAGAAGTAAAAAAAATGGGGTAAAATAATAACAATGAATAAGATTGATTTGATTAATTAAAAATAATTACGTAATAAAATAAATTAATAAATAACTAAAATATTTTTTATATAATTTAATAAGAATTAATATAAATTAAAATTAAAATTAAAATATTTTAATATAAAGTAATTATTAAATAAAATAGATAAAAAAATAAATTAAATTTATATATAAATTGAAATTAAATACAAAAAATAAATAAGTTATTTCTGAATTATTATTTTTTTCTCTCTCTCTCTCTCTATATATATATATATATTTGATCTGTTTAAATTTTTTTATATATTTAAGAAAATATATTTTTTTAATTTTATAATATAAATTATATGTAATTTTATTATTTTGTATATTTTAAAATTAAATAAATATTTTTTTAATAATATGTTATTTATTTTTTTAATTACCATTTTTATTTAAATTCTTCACAAATTATAGCGATAAAATTATTTTAATCTTATCAAATTTTAAATACAATTAAAAACATAATTTCCTTTTAAAATTTTATTGATAATAATTTTTATTTAAATTCCTCACAAAAAATAAAATTGTTTGAATCTTAATGAATTTTAACTAAAAATAAAAATACCATAAGTTTTCCTTTTAAATTTCTATTCTCAAATTATCTATACTTTTAAGATATTTCTATTGCAAATTTATTCCTTGACACATTCTCTTTTTTTTTCAACTTGACAACTATTTGAATATAAAATAAATTAAAAATATTAATAAAAATAAATAATAAAACTAATTTCACCTAATTTGAAAAATGCAATTAATTAAAATAAATTTATTCAAAATTCAAACTTCAAATTTTAATAATTATAATTATAAGAGTTTAATTGTTAATTTAAATTTTATATTATAAAATTAAAAAATATTATAAAAAATAATTAATGAAACAATCAATATATTTATTATAAATAATTATATTTAATTAAATTATATTTTAATAATTGTGTATGTACCCTTTAGTATTGTTTTTAATGTAAAAAAAATTGTATTTGTTTGAGTAATAAAATTGAAGTTTATAGTTAAAATATAATTAATTTACATTTTATACATTAAACAATTTAAATAGAATTGATTATGTAAATAAGGGATAATTAATTATGTAGTAAAACATAATAGATTATTTCTTCCCCTAATCTATTATGTTTATTTAATTTATATAATAACTAATAATTAATGGGTAATAAAAACATTCATAACATTCTACCAAATTTGTTTATAAACATCTATTCTATCTTATGTGATCTCTTCTATCTTATGTGATTCAAATTAAATGTAGGTTCCATCAAACTTTTCATGCAAATGATCTTAAATCATCAAATTCAAATTATATCTAATTTTTCTTCTGTAGATTCATTTTCTCATTTCTTTTTGTACAAGACATAGCCAGCTCCAAACATGGCTAAATATAGTTATACTTGGTTTTATATATTAATCGATTGCCTAATAATTATGTTCCCACACTTTTTACTTTTTGGTAGAAATATTTGGAGCTCATAAGGGAACTTAGGTAAATCTTTTCCCAAGCCACATACGACACATGGTACTACCTTGTAATTACTTCAACAACCCTTGAGATGAACAATCATAAACATTTTTTTTTTTAAAGCGGGAGAACAACAACAACAAATCAATGATAATTTGTATGTAGAATAATAAAAGCATAGTCATGACATTTTTCACGTTTCTTTTTACAACAAGATTCACTTCCTTTAATGCATTGTTTTAATATACACCCAAAGTCATTATAACACATAGATTTGGATCCCTATATTTGTTTATTCATCACACAAGCACAACCACCTATGTGGTGATATTCCCAAATTATCGTCAACGATGGATGCTGCAAAATTATTATGTTATCGTAGAGTACCATAAGAGTTTCCTGCTTCATTGATAGGGACAACAATAACTACCCCTCTCTTTTGGTTGTTGTTGGCATGGTATACAACAGTATGAGCCTCTTACGGTTGTGACCTACCCTACGCTACCTAAGGGAGGTAATGGTGTCGTTTTCAGATCCGACTAATAGAGTTTCATGCATACAACTTACTTGATGGTGGAAGAGTGGACCAAATATAGAGTGGAAGCAATTTTCTTCATGAAACTTACATATAACTCATGGAATATGATGTAATTGTCGAATAAAATTAAATATAAAATAATAGGTTTAAATGTTTAAATATTTTGATTGAGACAGTGATTATTACAATTCTAGGATTATGATTAGAAAGATAGAAAGTCAAAATTAAAATTTTAGTTTTTAGATACCAAATATATTATTTAATATTTATGATAAAGAGGCAATAATATACATATTAAAAAAATTATGTTATCAAATTAGTATTAGAGTCTCTGTCCCGATTGATAAAGACAGTAAACTATGATAATAGAAGTTTTTGAACGAAGGTTTTTCTTGAATCCCAAGATAATTAGGAGGTGATCAATGATGGTTACAAAGAACTAGCAAGTACTACGACCATTTTGGCAACCCAAAACAAATTTTTAAAAGAGACACATGAGAAGAATAAGACAACTTTGTACATGTTGTATCGAGTTATTGATGAATTTGGCTTTGAGAAGATAACAAGTATTAAAGCTCTAAAAGAAGCATAGGAGATTTTGAAGACAGTATACAAGGGTGATGACTAAGTGAAACAAGTTTGGCTACTAACACTTTGTGAAAAACTTGAAAGTTTGAGAATAAAGAAGTCAGAAGGAATTTTTGAATACATCATGCATGTTGAGACCATGATGAACCAACTTAATCGGATTGAGGTTATTAATGAATAACTTTGAGAATAGTGTGTGCAATAGAGGAATCAAAGGACATGTCCAAACTCACAATATAGGAGTTTCTTGGTTCTCTTTAGGCCTATGAGTATCGGAAGAAGAAGAAAAAAGGAGGCAACACTACAAGCACTCCAAAGTGAAACATCTCTTAAAGAAGAGAAAGGTCTATACTCTCAGAACACTCATGGTAGAGAACGTGGACGTTGAAGCCGAGGTGGTAGAAGTCGTGGACAAAATAATGAGGAGAAAGATTCAAACTAGCAAAATTGATGTGGTAGGCAACATGGTTGGAAAGGAAGTCGATCACCAACCTATAACGTTAAATGTTATAAGTGTGACAAATATAGTCACTACACTAAGAATTGTAACTTGGACAAATATTACAATTATGAAAAGGTGGGGCATTTTGCTAAAGAATGTCGAGCTGAAAAAAAGGTAGAAGAAACAAATCTTGTGAAGGAGGTAGAAGCAATGGTATTAATGGTATATCATAGGTTAGGAAACGATAATGGAGCTTATCATAGGTCAGAAGGATTTGAAGGTACCGATTATAACTCGGTATAATATTTGGATATGGGTGCAATTAATCACATGTGTAGAAACAGGCACTTGTTTAAAGAGTTAAAGAAAGTAGAGGTTGAATATGTGACTTCTAGTGATGCTTTGAAGGTCTCAGTAAAAGACTGAAGAACAACCCATTACTTGTAAAAGAATGGCCTAGTAAGGTCAATTCAAGATGTGTATTATGTTTTAGAACTCAAAAGTAATATTTTAATCTAATAAAGGTGGAGAAGACATCTAGGAGACATATCAGGTCAATTGATTTGATAAAGGTGGAGAGTTTACATCGACAACCTTCATAAAATACTATGAAGATGAAGTTATATTTTTTTAAATGTCATATTTTTCTTAACTTTTTATATAAAGGTGGAGAGTTTGTAATCATTCTTAACTTTTTTCTACAATATATAGTCTAAAATAATAACTTATTTTAATCATTAAATTAAAAAAATAGAAATTTTTTTTTACTTCTAAAACAAGTATTTTTTTTCATAACTTTTAATATATAATGATATTAAAAAAAGCATAAAGGTAACATCCACCATAACTTAATATAAAACTGTGTCAAATGTACGTGTAATACATAATCAATTTTTCTAAAACCAACACGCAAGTAACATAACTCTATCTTTAAAGCATCACACTACTATATTTTTTAATTTATTAAAAGTAGCATCGACCAAACTGAAGTTAAATATTTTTTATTATTTATTTAAGATAGTATTGGTCTGGCAGCACTGATATAATTTATTTCTTAACGTATTTATTCAAATAACTATTAATAAAATCAACACTAGGATAATTTTTTAATATATTTATTTAAATTATTTAATAATTTAAATGTGGTTTCTAAATGATTCAGAAAAAAAAATAAAGAAAAATGTCAAAGAAACTTAAATTC